AGGGCTCCGGGCTAGGGCTCTGGGCTAGGGCTCTGGGTTAGGGCTTTGTGCTAGGACTGTGGGCTAGGGTTTTGGGCTTGGGCTTTGGGTCAGGGATCTAGGCTAATGCTAGTCTGATCATAAAAAACCATATTTCACCTGTTTAGTCTCATCAATACAGAAATTACAGCCATTTTTTGCATTTCCAAATTAATTTTTGGAAAAGAGCGATGTTTGGATTTTGCGTTATTTCTACTTTTTTCCACAATTTTTGTCAAAACTTTTTACCTAATTGAAAGACCATTAAATTGTGCTTCAGAAACAGTGGCATTCATTTTTGCACTTTTATATTAACTATAGTTATGATTATTTTTGTACGGTGCACTTGGATTTTCACTGGTAGGCCCATTGGAGAAAAAGTGCCATTTCTTTTTGACTAGTTGACATAAAATTCTATTTGTAGTGTTTTTAGGTATCTCTTGAAAATAGTTTTCAAATATGGCCAAAAAATTTTATATTTTATTTTTTAAAATTGCAAAAAATTTAAAATTCCGAACAAAATTCGGTTTTTTTGCCAAAAATAATTTTCGAAAATCGGATTTGCGCGGAACACCTAAGTGTAATTCGGTGCCACGACCAAAAACGGCCCGGGATAAAAGACGGCTGATTAAATTTTTTACTTTTGGCCCAGTTCTTGGCCTCTTCAACTTTTCGGGCTTAACAAGTTTTTCGCTGTCAAAACATTTTTAGCTGGTCAGAGACCGAAATTTTTTAACAAATTTTGTAAAATACGAGTACTACACCTTATTTCATCTTTTTTATCACTACTTTAAAAGTTTTTTAATTTCAACTCGGACACCTTTCATCGTATAACATGTCCCTCTATCTATTTTCGTCACAATTATGAATTTTCCAAAAATACTCATGCTCTCCCAATTTGTCACTGCCATTTTTAATTAAAAATTTTGCGAAATCCCACTTATTTTCGGCATATTTACTCTCCATTTCACGTACATAACATAGATATAGCCTTGTTTTCGCAACAAAAGTAAACACAAACAAGTGCTATATAGTACGAGAGTGTATTCGAGTATCCCATCGAATTTTCGAGAGGTAATGGCAAAAAAAAAGTTTTTTGGACTTTCACAAGACTTGTTTATGGCGGAAATAGCGTGGGAAAGGATGAGACGGGAGAGGTAGGTGCGAGAGAGAGTGTGAAAGTGAGAGAGCGTGCAGAGAACGTCAGAGAAAAAAACAAAAGGAAATGAAAAAGGCGTGAAAGAACGGGGAAGAAAAAGAGAGCGGCCAGAGAAAGTTAGCGCAATAAAAAACAAAAGGAAGAGGGACGAGAGAGCGCGAATAAAAGAGGGCGGCCAGAGAAACTGAGAAAAACAGCGAATAAAAAACAAGAGAGGCGAGCGAACGCGCACTACGAAGAGGGTGGCCAGAGAAAGTTAGAGAAGAACCCGCAAAAAGAAAAGAGTCGCGAGAGACCGTATAAAAAGCAGAGAGCGGCGATACAAAGTCAGAGAAAAAGAAAAAAGAGCGCGTAAAAGCAAGAGAGAGCGGTCGAAAAACCCTTCAAAACGCGATAAAACGTCAAAAGAAGAGTTTCCTCATAGAAAAAAAGTCAAGAACGGAACGTTCTCGCCAGCGTTTCCCAGCCGAAGACGTTCTCGGCTTTTTCGAAACACAGCCTCGAGCCGTTTAGCCGGCCGAAGGCGAAATAGCACGCATTTCTGCGAGAGACTGTGCAGAGAAAAAGACGGATTTGTAGCGGATTTTTTCAGTACGGCTTTTTCAGTACGTTCGCCCCATTTTCACTAGATTTTATGCATGTTCATAAAGACGTGTGTTAACTGGACCATCTGGCCTATTATCATATGTTATCATAGGCATGTGGGTGGTGTTCTTTACAGATATTTCGAGATTTGGTCGGATTTTGAAAGGGATTTCGATGGGAATGATAAACTGATAAAAGTTTTGAACTTTTGAGTTAAAAAATAGTGGCATAATGGTTTGGTAAAGGTTTAAAAACGAGGTTTTTTATGGAATTTTAGTGATTTTTGATGATTTTTCGGGAAAAAATTGATGAAATGTTACCTAAAAACTTAAAGTTAAAAAAGTGTGGTTAGTACAAAAAAGCTGAAGTCATTAGTCAACTTTAAAGGTAAAATACGCGTTGTTATGTTTTGCTTCATAACGTCAAAATTTCATATTTATCAAAATTTTGGGTGTTTTAGATGATTTTAGCCCAAAAAACGGCTGAAACCACCCCCGAAATCAAGTTTTTTAGCCAATTTTTTCCTTGTCAAATTCTCCATTTATTTCTGCACCCAATACAATGCGGATTTTGTATTTTCAACCGCTTTTTATCACCTAAAAACTAATTTTTGAACACGCTGTCTTTATATTAATATAGGTGTTGGTGGTCTGGTTTGCTAAAAATTTTTGAATCTTTAGAAGAATTTTGAAAAGTTTTGGATTAGTGACTGTAGAAAAGTAAATTTGGAATATTTTAAGGTAAAATACGACATGAAATTTATTGGTGTTGATAGTAAAACTTTGATTTTTTCAAAAAATTTGTCGATTTTTGTTGATTTTTGGGGAAAATTGATCAAATCGTTTTCTAAAACTCAAAATTTCAAAATTATTTTGTTAGTACTAATTAGGTAAGGCTATTTGTCAACTACATAGGTAAAATACGTGTTTCTTTTATTACTCTTATTAAGGAACTTGATTTTTTTAAAATTTTGCTGATTTTTCGATGATTTTTGGGGGAAGATTGATAATATTCATATTAAAACAGGTTGATTGTAAATTATTTTTTATAGCACTAAAATGTCAATGTAATTTGTTAACTTTTGAGGTAAAATACGAGCGATGCACTCACGGTTATAAAAAGATTTTTTGCTGATTTTCTGCTGAAATCAACTTAAAACCCCCTAAATCAAATTTTCTACCCAATTTTTTAATCTTTTCAAACTACACATTCAATTTCACACAAAAGTCAACCATCTTTTGTCACTTCCACACCTCTACCATTAGCCAAAAGCCGGTCGGAAAGCGGCCCATACAAAATTGGGTGATAATTGTCGTTATGGGAATATGTTCGTCTTTAACGGGATTTCCTAAACGTTTCCGCTTTTGTCTGGAAACAGGCCGTATTTGTTTTAACCCGATTGTTTTAGGCCCCCAGGAAATGGATACGTTTTGGAGGAGCGGCGTCAATCCAGAATGATATACTATACCGTGAAGAGGGGAAATGTTCGCTTGGGTGAGGAAAAACAAGCGGGTACTGTAGTTTGCAAAAGTTTTGACGTGAATTTTATTGATTGTGGGAATTTTGAGGTAGATTTTGTTTGTTTTTCGATAAAAAATAGTAAAATTTTTATTTGGTCACAAGTTATACGATGAAACATGTCGGATATGTTTTATCGTATAACGTGTCACCAAGCAAATTTTTTTGGTTAAATTTCGAACTTTTGTGGTTAATTTGCTCTATTTTTCTCTATTTTTGCATATTTGTTTACTTATTCTGATTTTGGTGACAAGTTATACGATAAAACATGTCTGACATGTTTCATCGTATAAAATGTCACCTATATGTAATTTTATGATGTAAATTGCATTATTTAGCAAAAATTACTTCGTTTTTTTTCAATTTTTACTAGTTTTTCAATTTTAGTTGTTTTTAGTGACATTTTATACGATGAATCATGTCCGAGATGTTTCATCGTATAACTTGTTACTTTTGCAATTTTCAAAATTTTTTTAGAAATATGAGATCTGATTAGATTATAGAACATTCTTTTCAAATTTTGCAAACTTTTATTTATCATCTTTCCAATCTATGGCCATTGAAACAATTCGAGGCCCAGACCTCTCCATAACAATACCTATTATATCGAGTACGTAATCAAAAGTCAAGCCGAGCTCCTTATATTACAGCAAACATCATTACTCCGTTCGTTTTTTCCAACTTTTTTTTCTTTGTCCAAATAGCAGTTGGCTCCTCGAGGGGCCGAAACCTCAATCAAATGATATTCTTATAATCTTGTGTAAAGTTGTTACTCTTTATGCCGGTGTAAAGTTGTTATTTGCTGTGCAATTGTTGTTACTCTTTACAATTTCCTTTTTATTAGAGTTTGAACTTTTGGCTTTTGGCTTTTGAGAGGGGGTTTTTGAAAAAATGGCTTTTGAAAAGAAGTTTTTGCGAAATTTTGAGGTTTTTTGACGATTTTTTGCCGTTTTTATATGACAGTGGTGACAAAACTTTTTCAATTTCAGATATATGATAGCTGGGGTTGTTCTCTTTTTTTTAATTTTGATATCAAGCTACTTGACGCTTCTTTGTAGTTTTTATACCTAAAAGTATAACACCAACTTTTTTTGGAAAATTTTGTGGTTTTCAAGCTGTTTTTGAGAGATTTTTTGCCATTTTTTATATGACAGAGATGACAAAACTTTTTCAATTTTAGGTATATGAAAGCGTAGAGTATCCTCTTCATTATGATAGTAATATTAGTTTGGTTGATAAGTTTTTTACTTTTTTATACTTAAAAGATTGATATTAGGTAATTTTGGAAAACTGTGTTTTTTTTAAAGAATTGCCATTTTTGATATGACGTTATCTATAAAATGTTCTAAATTAGGTATATTGTGATATTATAGATGCTCCTTTACATTTTAGTACTATTTCTGTGTTTATTGACATAGTTCTTACCGTGATATGGTGTAAAATAAGTGATTCCGTGGTATCGTTACCATGCAATGAAATATATAGATTTATTTCAGAAACTCAACTCAAATTTAAAAAATTCACAATACCTTATCTCCAAGAGCTTTATCACCGTTCTATTTTTGCATAATAATCAACGCCACAGCGTAATAATCGATTTCTATCACCAATTCTTCTACTATCATCTACTACAACATCATTTGTCATCATTTTTGAATCAGAAAAGATTGTAAGCCCAAAAACCGATTTCTAATGGTCTGAAACTACAAATCCTGTAAAGATGTCAATTCTGCATCCGGACAATCCGACCACATCGTTTGGCCACTTTGACGTTCGTAACGAATCGCAAACTGCGCCCGACAATTGGCTCATCACCGATGAGTCGGCTTTAAGCGATGATCTCACGTTAATCGACTCGTTTTTGGGTATGTTGGTATTTTTTGGCATTAAAATAGTTTTATTTTTTAGGTAGCGACATTTTATACGATCAAACGTGTTTGGGTTTTCATGGGACATGTTTGATCGTATAAGATGTCTATTTTTTCTGAATTTATAAAGTTTTTATGTCAAAGCCTTCAACATGATCAATATCAACTATTTCCACTAAAAAATTTATTTTCAGGTCTAGGCTCCTTCGATGGATCCACCTTCAACGATAAATCCACGGAAAACCTGTCGACGCCGTTGAACATTTTTCTCGGCGGCCGTTCTCATCAACAACTGCAACATTTGTGTGACCAAGTGCTTGTCAAACGTCTACCGTTTGTTGGTTTCGAACTTCGATACTGGGATCTGGCGATTCTGGTCCCCAATCTATTGTTTTTACTGTTTTTATTGCTGAAATGCGGAAATATGCGAAGAAAGTTGCGGCACACCAGCTCGCCGTTGTTTCGGGCGTTCTTCTTCTTGGTAAGTTGGTTTTATATATTGAAGTTTGGTATCTTTAGAAAGGTTGAAGTCTGGTCTATCGAATGGTATATGAATCATAAAGTGACATTTTAATATTCGGGCAGAAACTTGATTTTTACGGGATCAACCCGATATTACACTGAAAAATTTGCGTTTGCTTTTTTCTTTTGATCATAACTTTTTTGAAACATTAGGTAATAACTTGAAAGTTGGAGCGATTGTAGCTTATTATGTTTTTAATAAATGCCATAAAGCGTTTTTTAAAATTTACAGTATTTTTGAAGTTACAGTAATTTTACCGCACCCTGCTTTAACTTTTTTTCTGGAGCAGATCTTTTTAGCTTGTTTTTTTGTGTTTTAGGTACCTTTTAGGTCTTGTTTTTATAATTTAGGTATAATTTAAGACTGATTTTAATATTTTAGGTATAAACCAAGCTTTATTTCCATATTTTAGGTATATGCCACGACATTGTTGAATATAACGAGAGCTGGAATATCGATGGCTTTTACCTATTCAGATCCGTTTGGTCGATTCATTAATGAAATTATTTGGTTTTCATTAAAGTTTCTGGCTCTGACGACTGAATTGGCAGTGCTGGCGTTTGGTCTACTGTTGGGGCCGTTAGATTCGGCCAGAAATTTGAGGAAAGCATTGTTCTTTGTGGTGGTGTTCAGTGGAGTTCATGCTGCGATTCAGATGATTCTACAGTTTAGGATTTGGAATACGGTGAGTTTCTTTACCCTGCCTTGCTTTGCCCTTCTCTTGGCTTGCCTTGCCTTGGCCTGATCTTTCTTTTATCAATGCCATTACTTTTCAGCACTTCTTTGTGGAAACCCTCCGCATCTTCGCTCACGATGGTATGGGATTCTGGATGATATCCTCTGGCATCTTCGCCATGGTCTACGCTCTAGCCTGCTGTTTCCCGATGATATGTTGTCGTAGAGTATGTGCACCACGGCGGTGCTCATTCCATTCGTACTGTATGCTAATGGCTCTCTTCAACATTGTCCAGGCATTGGGCGTGGTACTGTTGTTACTTCATACCAAGGATGGACTATGTGTCACTGATGGTACTGGCCTACTGTACTTTACTTTCTATGGACCGTTGGTTTACTTTGTCTTCTTGAGGCGGTCATTAAATTCAAAGAGCTTCCCCTATAGACAACATAAGAATGTGACCAGCTCGGATGTGTATCAACCACGGTTTTCTGGTGGGTTTTCGGATAGGGGTGGAGGTATGGGTAGGGATAGGTTAGATGCATGGATTTGAGTATAATTGGGGTGGAGTTGGGTATTAGAAGGGTAAGGTTGCTTTACAAAACAAAAATAGGCAAGAACTTGCTTTACAAAACAAAAAGGCAAGAACTTTCTTTACAAAATAAAAAATGGCAAGACCTTTCTTTACAAAACAAAAAATGGCAAGAACTTTCTTTACAAAACAAAAAATGGCAAGAACTTTCTTTATATAGAAGAATTTCAAAAACTGAGCTGTTTTAATTCGATTTTAAACTAAAAACGGCAGAATTAGGTAAAATACGACATCTGAAATTGATGTTTATTGAAAAAAAATCTTAATCTTATCATTTTAGGCCTAATCTCCCCGTCATACGATGACTTCTTTGATTACGACCGTATCATGCAGCACGACAGTACCCATCTCCAGAACATTCTCCACCTTAATTACGATTTTTACCACGCCGCCCAAGACTTTCGTGATCCATTTGGCACGGAGATTCCATTAATGTCGAACAGAACACCAGATTCGACTATCACAACACATATGGACTCGGATGGTAATATCGAGTTGGGCGACAATTCGACCAGTTCCGAGAGTCGACCCATCATTCGACCACCCACTTTGAACAAACATAAGCAGCTAAAGTGAGTTCTTGCCATTTTGAAGGTTGGAAAGAAAGTTTCTGCCGTTTTTTGTTTTGTAAAAAAAGTTCTTGCTATTTTACGTTTTGGAAAGAAAGGTCTTGCCATTTTTTGTTCTGTAAAGAAAGTTCTTTCCATTTTATGCTTTGGAAAGAAAGTTCTTGCTATTTTTTGTTCTGCAAAGAAATTTTTTACCATTTTTATTTATTGATTCTACGTCATAAATGAAAAAGCTAAATGCACCGTGAAAGCATATATTTTATTGCACAGTGCAAATTTTTTCTTTTTTGAAAAAACTCAAATTTTTGATAAAATTTTAATACTGTAAAATTTAAAGTACCATTATTTGCATCTTTTAAAATTATTTTTACTTTTTTTCATTTGTAAATAATGGCATAAATGAATTATAAAAATGACTGCACCGTGCAATCTATGTTTCTTTTGCACTGTGCAGAAAAATAAAGCATTTTGCACCGTGCAAAAGCAATTTGTGGACAAAAAACGAGAATAAAAGCACAAGTAACAATAAAATCGATTTTTCAGACTAGGCTCGGACGGCCGATGGAGCTTCGACACCTACGACCAGTCGCCGGACTATTTTTCGCGAAGACGCTGGTATTAAGCCTTCAAACCCCATTAATATGCCATGAACAAAATCATTTACACACATTTACGAGGTTGTACGAACACAATTTGATTTCACATTCTCAGCTTTCACCCATTCTTAAGATCTTATCCATTACGGCGAAATGTTATACGATGAAATGTGTTTTGGCTTGTAACGTTGGGGCATGTTTTATCGTATAAGATGTCGTCTGAATTACCTTTTTGGTAGAAAAGGTTGTCATATACTCATTTATCTTGTTTACTATCAATCGATTTTTATTGATTTGGCTTTGGTTTAGACGGGGCGGTGTTTTTAAGGATGGGACATGTTTTTTCGTATAACATGTCTCTATCAAACTTTTTTATAGTAGCTGATGTCATATGGTTGAAGTGGGTCATTTAATGACTAGAAATTCCATCTTTCCCTTTAAATTTCCTATCAATAACTTTTTATGACATAAAGTGTCATAGGACATGTTTGGTCGTATAACATGTCACTGTTAAACTTTTTTTGACAATAACTGGTACTATATGGTTAAAATAGATCATTTGGGGCCTAAAACCATTAATTTTACTTCAAAAGGTCATACAATTCATTTTATATAACATAAAATGTCGAAGGACATGTTTCATCGTATAAAACATCCCCTCAACCAACCAAATCATTAAAATCACCATTTTTCCGCACATTATCCCTTAGTACTTTGAACGTTAGTCTCGGTTATATGGGTATTGTCCCTCGCACATTGTTAATCGCTATGGTAATCGTCTTTACCGTATCATATTCGAACCCCGTCGTATGTACATATAGTTGTATAGATCATCATAATATTATTAAAATGTCCAAAATAAACACGAATTACACAGTTTTTCAGAGGCATCTATTTAGAAACCGTATTTTACAAAAAATTCGACAAAAATTTTTCGACCGGTCGATAATTTTTTTTTGAAAATCGACTATAAATTAATCAAAATCAGTGCTGAAACATAAATTTAGGTGGTTTAATGTCAAAAACAACAACTAAAACAATAAAATTACAAGGGCCTAATCGTCTTTGGGTAGTACCATATCAGCCAGGTCTACCACGTTCTTTTCGCCGTACTTTGGTGGACCGATGAGTTGTTTCACGTCCTCGTACGACAGCGTTTCTCGCTCCAACAGGGTTTTTGCTAACTGAAAAGTGGTTTTTAAATGTAAAATACGATGAAATTTAAAAAAAAAATAGTTTTTCAAAAACATGTTTGATCGTATAACATGTCCACAACAAAAAAAAATTGTAAAATACGGAACATATAGGCCATTCATGAAAATTAGCACCCAAAAAGATATTTTTAGAGTGCAAAAGACACCATAACATAAGTTTTGTCATACATATAATATATAACAGCCGCGGACATGTTTCATCGTATAAAATGTCCATAACCTCCATTTTTTAAAAATTTCCCCACCAAAAACGTCAAACTCAACCCACCAAATCCAGTTTCGACTGATTTTGTCTCAACAGCTGTTCCGTAGCCAAATACGCGTCTTTAACCAAGGTCCTGGCTTCTGAATCCATGACATTACCCAAATGTTTACTGTACGGTTTTCGCTGGAACTGTTCCGCCCGTTCTTGACCCGGCTCGGACGCGAAACTTAGTGGTCCTACTATGCTCGAGAAACCGTATCGTTTGATTTGGGCGTAGGCTTGTTGTGTCACTTTTTCCAAATCGTTTTGAGCGCCGGTGGTGCAACGGCCAAACGTGATGTTCTCGGCCGCACGGCCGCCTAGCATCATGCACATTCGGTCGAATAGCTGTAAATTGAGATTGCCTTTTATTATGGGTTAGTTTTAGTATAAATTAGTACCTATTTTAATGTTTAAAACTATAAAAATGGCAAAAAAAATCTATTTTTTGGGCTAAAATCGCTATTTTTTGAGAAAAAATTGACTTTTTTAGACATTTTTCATCGTATAACATGTCAACTTAAAATCTTTCTTGAAAATTAAGAATCTGCATTTTAAGCTGATCACGATGATAACATTTTCCAAAATTTTTATCAACAAACTGACCCTTAACAATAAGATGAAGTCAAACTACTTTTTCCCTCAAAACCGACTCCACCCGCCAGTCCACCCCAATTTTCTCATTTTCACACCCATGCCTACCTCATCCTTGCCAAACAATTTCTTGTCCCTTGGATTGTACTGAGCAAATCCTAAAGCCGCAGAAGTTCTCGGAATGATGGTGACCTTCAGTAAAGCATCTGTATGTTCCAGTAACCAGCCCACCAGAGCATGCCCACTCTCATGCCATGCCACAACTTCTCGTTCCTCCTGTACCAGTACCTTTGATCGTTTCTCTGGCCCGGCAATGATTTTTTGTAGTGCAAAGTCAAGGTCGGTGACTTCGACTTGCTTGTGGAGGTCTGTAGCCGCATGAATCGCGGCTTCATTCACGACGTTGGCAATGTCGGCGCCGGAGAAACCGGGTGTCATTTGGGCGAGACGTTGAGTTAGGTGTTCTGGGTGGTTTTGATTTAGCTTGATCTTTTTCACGTATAGGTCAAAAAGTTCTTTCCTTTCGATAATTGTGGGGAGGTCGACGGAGATGTGACGATCGAAGCGGCCTGGTCTCATTAGGGCCTGGAAATGGGTGAATATGACTTTATACTTTGAAATATAAAAAAAGGTACAACTTACGGCATTTTTAACTTTTTTTATTTAAAAAAATACTATTCTTAAATTTCAAAAAAAATAAAAAAACACCCCCTTCCCCTCCCCCCCCCAATAACCCTTTTTTCAAAATTCTACCCCCCTCTAACCTCAAAATCAAATTTTTCAAACCAAAAAGCTCCATACTTTATCCAAAATGTCCGGTCGATTGGTTGAAGCTATCAAAATTACACCTTGATTCGTGTCCATTCCGTCCATTTCGACCAGTAACTGATTCAACGTTTGTTCTTCTTCGCCATTACCCCCGCCATACCTACAACAACATCATTTTAAACATAAAATTACCTCATTTTCTATATAAAATAACACATTTTAGATAAAACACTTGTCTTTAAACATGAAATTTTTATCAAAAATCGTTGAAATTTTGAAAAAAATTACTAAATTTTGGTAAAAAAAGCACATATTAAGTTTTTTGATTGTAAAATACGAAGCCACTATAAAATCAATTACAATCAAAAAATGCTACGCAGTCTCCCCAATTTCCCTCATAAAAACCAATCTTCCCCCACCAACCCCACCAGATCTCTACCACAAAATCCTCAACCAACCCTCCTCTGCCTTCGCTTCTCTTTTTGCCAATGGCATCAATTTCATCGATGTAAATGATGCATGGTGATCTTCTTTTGGCTTCTTTGAACAAATCTCGAATTCTAGAGGCTCCTAGACCTCCGATCATTTCGATGAATTCGGTACCATTCATTGAGATGAATGGTGCTGATGACTCGGCCGCCAATGCTTTGGCTAATAGGGTTTTGCCACATCCGGGTGGGCCTGTAGGTAAAGACAAGAATTATTTTACCTTTATAATCCCACACTCAAAAAAATTTTTTATCCCCCCCCTACCAAAAAATTTTTTTTACCACACCCACCAAAATATTTTAGTGCAAAAGCTTTAAAAAGTGTTTTTGAAGCCCCGCAAAACTTTTTTTTTACCCTCTCTCCCCCCCCCCCCAAAAAATTTTTTTTTACCACGCCCACCAAAATTTTTCAATTAGCCCAACCAAAAAATTTTTTAAACCATACCTAGCAAAACACCTATCTCTCCCCCCCCATCCCCCCCTCCTCTCACTTTTACCACGCCCAATACTACACACCTACTTACCAGTCAAAATCGCGCCTTTAGGCAGCTTAGCTCCCAATTTCGTGTATTTTTGTGGGTTTTTCAAATAGTCCACAAACTCGCTAATCTCCACTTTGGCTTCATGAAGGCCGGCCACATCTTTGAACTTGATTTTGAGTTTGGACTTTCCCTCAGGCGCTTTCGGATCGATAATGTTGATTTTGGCTTTGGAGAAGGGAGCGAACTGGAAATGAAATGGTTCAAAATGTCAAAATTTAAAAAATTTTTTAAAAAATTAAAAGTTAAAAATTTAAACTTGATATTCGCTTTTTTTTGGTTAAATTGATAAACATACAGATAAATATTAGCCAAAAAAGGAATAAACATCCAGGTCAAAGATTTTTTTTTTGAAATGGCCATAAAATCAAAAATTTTTTCTTTTTTTTATTATAAAATAAATTACAGTACGATCAGCGAGACTCCTGTACAACGAACAACTTTTGAATTCCCGTCTACCACTACACAGTGCATTTAAAACCTGTATAACGAAATTCCTTTATAACGAACAAATTTCAAGTCCGCGAGCGATTCGTTATACAGGAGTTCCACTGTAGTAACATTGTTTTGATTTGTCAATTTTTATAAAACGATATTACGTACGTTAAATAATAACTTAAAACAGTTTACACTACTTTTTTTTATCAATACCTAATTGTTTAAAAAGTCTTGTCGTTTTTTGCAGTACAAATCAGTACTAATAAACGACAAGGCTTTTTCCATACCCATATAGTGCAAATTTTAATAGATCCTTAATTCGCTGTGGTATTCTAGAGTACTATAGATAATTTTGTACTACTGTAGAACTCCTGTGTAACGAATCGCTCGGGGACTTGGAATTTGTTCGTTATAAAGGAGTTCCACTGCATTTCAACTTCAAATCGTCTGTTTTGAAGTTTTTTTAAACTAATCAATTGGCAACATTATAAGCTTGAATGCCTGTGCTTTACTCATTCGCCATTAATTCTTGTCCAAGTGTTTTTTTAAATTTACAAAGATAAAAAAAAAAAAATAATGACACTCTCTCACTGTCTATTAATGTTAGTTTATAAATTCAACTTTTAAACTTATCAACGCCAGCTGATTTTTTAAGGATTTTAGATCAATCTTAGGCCAAAATGTCTTTTTCTACCCTACCTTTCCTTTCCTTACTTTACGCTACTCTACCATACCTTACCCTTCCCTACTCTACACTAGCCTACCCTACCCCACCACATCTTACCTTACGCTACCCTACCCTAATCTACCCTACCTCACCTTACCTTTCCCTACCCTAGCATACCGCACCTTGTATATAATTACCATAATTTTGATTAACAAACCCTACCTTAAGCCAATCTACCCTGCGTTGCCCTACTGTACCCTACTCTACCTCACCCTATCATTTTTAACTACCGTAATGTAGCCTGCTCTGACTCCAAGCCAAGACTGCAATGCCCTATTCTTTTCTTATACCTTGTCCCACTGAAACGTATCTTACCCTACCCAACTTTAGCTTAATTCATCCCGCTTAGCCCTAAATTTCTTTACCGTACCCTACTCTATAGCTTGTTTTTTAGCCCAAAAAGTTTTTTTTAATTTTAGGTCATCAAGACCACCGCGGAACCTCGTATTTTACCACTCAACCACCACCATCCTCCCCCAAAAAATTAAAATCAACTCACGCTCTGTGCGGACATTTTGAAGTTGCTCTTCTTCACCATATAGTAGATGCCAAAGCCGATTGCTAACAACACTCCGGTCACCAGCAAATTATTGATGCCTTCGAGACGGGTGAACTCGATTTGAGTCCAATGTTCTGGTGGCAGCCCCACTGCGTCTTCGACGGCTCGTACTTCACGTTCGAAGCGTGCCAACGACGGTATTTGAAGGCGGTAAGTCGGTTCCAGTGGGATTCCATCCAAACCCTTCGAGTTTTGATACAAGTAGACGTAGGCCAGCTCTTTTTCCGGGAAAACACGGATTTTTGATACCTAAACATTCATTTTTAAATTGGACACCTTTCATCGTATAAAATGTACAGTTTTAATCATAAAATCGTCTTTCCAATCCCTTTTAACCATACTATTTTCAAAAATTCATCATATAACCAAAATTTCATTATCAAACTAAGCTTTTCCTCACCTGCCCAGTAGGTAACAATTTGTTCTTAAAATCACTCCAGGTAACATCCTTTACATTAACATTCTCTGGACTACTAGCTCCTCTAATTAGTACCAATAACCCATAGAAGAATAATGTGACGGCTAATGCTCTTTTCAAACGTTCCTTTATATCATTCTTGTTATCCTCTTGTTTTTGCTCTTCAGACTTTTCAGCTTGTTCTTCTTCCTTTCCTTCTTTTTCTTCCTTCTTTTCTTCTTTTTCATCTGATTTTGTGGCTTTCTTGTAATTAGAGGCTTTGTCAATGTAATTGTCGTAGAAATACATGAATAATTTTCGTCTCATCGGCTTGTCAACAGCTAAAATGACGTTTTTGTAAGGTCTCCCTTTATAAAACGTGTAATGGAAACAACTTTCTTTACAAAAACTAAAATGGCAAGAAGTTTCTTTAAAAAACAAAAAATAGCAATAACTTTCTTTACAAAGCAAAAAATGGCAAGAACTTTCTTTATAAACATAAAACAGCAAGAACTTACTTTACAAACCAAAAAAAAGCAAAAACTTTTTTTACAAATCAAATATTCAAAAAATTAAACCTTACTTGACCTCAACAAAGCGTTTCTAATCTCTTTCAAATCAGAAGGTGTTTCCTCATCTCGTGTCACCTTTGTAAGCGCCAGACGGAGTTTCCTTAAACTTTCAGCCTCAGCTGTAATAAAATAGTTGAGCCGTGAAAATGTCGTAAGTTTAGTTTAACGCTAGAGAAATGTTAGTTTTCTAGCAAAATTATACTGTACAACCTTTGTAGTAAGGTATTTTACAACAAAAACATTAAAAACTTACAATGGGGCCCATGTTTTTGATATAACTTTTCCAACTTCTTCGAATCTTCAGAAGTCGCTTTTCCACTTTGAATTCGCTTCATCAGCTCCATCATTTCCTTTACTAAAAACCAAACTACATATATTTCACGTACAAGACCAGAAATTAACCATAAACACCAAAAAAATCAACCTTTTAGATAAGACGAGACCAATATCTATCATAACATCCAAATTGATCTCTAAAATCAAAAAAACAAATCAAAATAACTTACGTTTCTTCTCTTTATCATCTTTATCGTCTTTTTTACCTCTAGGAGAACCACCAGTACCGGCAGCGGTCAATGGAGCCGAGTTTACCGGTCGCCTCCTAGTAACGTCGTTCCACTTGGTGTGTCGAGCTAAAACGCTAAACTATAATACAAAACCAACACCAAACCATTACTTTTATAACCAGAAAGATTCTAAATATCCAAAGCTGTCTAATGATACCAATATAAACAAGCTTTGTCCCTTGAATTTCAAAATATATAAACAAACTTATATTAACATACCCAAAACTACTCCCAGATCGTTGTAAAATGTTCCAATCGTTATGTCTCGTGTTGATAAAACATTAGAATATTGTTTGGCACGAGTCGCATTTATAATAAGCCTATTTGACCTCAACATAATACATTTGTGAGCCAGAACTGACGAAATTTTGTTGAAATTTATTTTCTCGGAAGTCTAGGAAATGCGTCAGTGTGATTTCTCTGTAAAATAGTTCAAAGTTTCAAATCCTTTTACACAAGTAAACAATTGCATGCCCTTTACTAAATTTGTATAAATTATATGTACGTTAAGATTAAAAACATGTCATTATAACATCTTTTTTAGAAAGACAGACTATATAAACTGTGTCACGATCTAATTCGGTCTTTCAATACCTTATATTTTTAATGCATTTTAATCACATTCAATCATTAAATGATAAAATATAGTTTTTGCAATATCAACTGTGTTTATTTACGACGTCATGACATCTTTTCTAGACGCCCAAAATCAGCCCGCGCTAACATTATTCATAAAGCGATTTTGCTGTTTTAACACGGGAAGTTAATGGCTTTTCGCTAGGCCAATCGTGTTTTTGATTTAAATTTTATATTTCCTTTATTTGCAGATTCGGATGGACTCGGGTTGGCCCAGCTTCGAGCTGGAGTTCAAGTCAAAATCTCGGGATTCAAAAGTCTCGGAAGAGATCGAACGGTTTCTAAAGGTAAGTTCTTTAGTATTATTGCTTGAAATTTAGGTTTGAATTGATTAGAAAGGTGCGACAAAGTGTGGAGAAGTTGATTATAAGCTTTACTTTCTATAAGACATTCAGATTTTGTGTTTTTGAGAGCCTTTAGCGTTATCACAATGAGTTTTTGGTATGGGTAATATAAATTGATGGATAGATTGTCTAAAAAACCTTCTTGAATTTTTGAAGATTAATTATAGAAGGTAGAGTAGATTTTTCTCTATCTTTTAACTACGATTGTAATCTAAAGTTTTGTCATTTTCACATCAAACCATCAAGCTATTGTTTTAGTACGGCTTCAACGAGATTGACGGCGAAGTTGCCAAACTTTACATTGGGATACCAAATCATGTGTCGGACGAAGATCAACGTATTGTTTACAAGGTTATTGTTGGTTGTAAGCCTGTGGACAGAGCGGCTATTGATATTGTTCGACTTACGAACGAATTGGTGGCGAGTTTGCAGATATGGAACGAAACAGTTGATTCGAATTTGGGAGTGTTTGCCACTCTTACAATCTTGGACAGGCGATTGTTATTTGTACCGAAAGAGTAGGTTTTCATTTTAAGTGGCTTTAAATGTATAATATATTGTTTGTATTAACAATGGTCAATTGATTGTTTTAGATTTCAAAAAAGTGCCAATATGTACCTTCCAGCTGCTCAACTAACGTTAGGAAATGTGATTGAACACGACAAATTTGTAAAACATTGTGTTTTAGATCCAGTAAGTAATGTTTTTTCAATCTAGGGCTATTTGTAGCTAGCTATGAGCGTTTTTACAAGTTTTAAAAGGGAAAGTTGAGTGGAAGATTTTCATGACAAATCTTCCACCAAACTTTCACTTCTAAAAATTGTTAAAAATTTGTTTTTTGCCCATTTTAAGACTTTTTGAATGTGGAATTTGAGTGGAAGATTTTCACTGCAAAATACATTACAAATCTTCCACTCAGCTTCCACTATTAAAAAGTTGGATTTTATCTCAGACTTTGGTCTCTTATCATTATAAATTAAAATAAAAACTATATGAACGTTTAATTGTAGGAAGACACTAAAGGTGACTTTGGTAATGTAAGAATCTTGAAAAAGTACTACGAATATGATCCAGAAGCCGTCGACGCGTGTACAACCCCATTAATGGTCGATTTCGAGCACGATCGTCGCAAAATGTTCATCCGATTCCCGACAACGCATCGGCAGGGTGAACGATCATGTGAAGCTGTGTATAAACTGGAGTTACGATATTCGACTATCAAGAGGATTATGGTAAAATGGGAGGGAGTAACCACCGAGCCCGAACTGACATTGTTCTTTCATCTGGAGACGATGCCATTGGTGTATAAGATCAAGTTCGAGAGGTTCGAAGAAGGCGGGAAGAGGAAGAAACTTGACCCAAAGAGGAGAATGTTCTCGCATGGTAAGGATAATATATTAGGTTGTTCAAAAAATTATGTGCTCCTTAATTTAGTTTATTAGGCTGTTCAAATAGTTCTGCACCCTAAACCCAATTTTTTTTCATTGTGAGGCGGCACTGAATTATTTGAACAACTTAATATGAGTTTGTTCAAATAATTCTGTGCCTCTCCTCAAAACGAGTTTTAAGCGTTAGGGGGCACATAATTTTTTGAACAACCTATTAGTATTGATAGGGCAGAAAAAAATTTTCGAAAAAATTTGAACGTGGTCCCCCCTGTGGATTTTGGAAAAAAATTTTCGCAAAAAATCGGCACAGGTAGCTCCTGTGCCGATTTTTTGGACCCCTGCCCCCAGACCAAAAGTCCCCGCCCGGCCCTGGTCATTATGTTTCAGGTGATCGTGAAAAGTATTGGAAAGGCGATTACTTCTCAGATTATGTCGAATCACCCTTTTTGAAGCTGACATTTAAGCCGCAGGACGTGAGTTTTTGAAATTTAAAAATTTTTAAATTTTTCAAAATTATGACATTTGGATGACAATATGGCATGAAAATGACATTTACTAGTAAGGGCTTGAATCACAGTTTTTGAAAAATCTTTTAGGCCTGGACCTGGCTGAACATTCTGAATCGACTGGTCGCAACCACCTCGAAACCGATATTATTCAGGAATATCGTCGATCATCCTCGCTATCGTTTTATCGTCAACAAGAGCAAACACCAATTTCCGCACAAAGACTACGACAGTAGAATGATCGAAGACATCAATGCAGACTTTGCCACCATGTACCTATTGGAAGCGCTGGGAACCAGGGGTTTTCATGTCACAGATCAACTTATGTTAGACAAGGAGGTGGCCAAAAGGTTCAAATCTCGAATTGTAGCTGTTTATCGGGAGAATAAGAAAGTAAGTGACATTTTATACGATGAAAAGTGTTTTTGGATTAAAAATTTTTTTTTAATTTGCTTGTATTGACATACTGAGAACGTTTATGACTTCATCTGTAATGTTATATAAATTTTAAGAAGTTAAACCAATTGTAAGATTCTTTGTAACACTAAAAACACATTTTTCAGCTTCTCCTGGACGCCCTGGAGAAGTTGTTGGCCATGGTCGATGAATTCATGGAACTAGATCCAATCCCCGACCTCTTCGAAATTGCCCTCAAAAAAGCTCGCGACGGTCTCCTAGTATCAACGGAAATCGATGAAGAACAAAAACTCAAAGGCTACGTGAAGCTACGCAAGATCATCATCACACCGTGCCGTACCGTGTATCAAGCACCCGAAATGATAATGGGCAATCGAGTACTGCGAATCAAGGAGGACAAGTACACGCCGGAACGCTTTTTAAGAGTGGCATTCCGAGACGAAAACTTTGCCAAAGTACAGTCAATGATGGGCAAAGTCTTCATCGAGAAGTTTGTGAAAAAGAGTTTGGTTGACACAAAGGTTATTGGAGGTAGGTTAAGATGGATTTGATTGTACAGTGGGACTTCTATAGGTTAAGGGAAAGGAGATTTGACAACAAAACCAATTTGTTAGAAGAGGGTGTATTAGAAAATTGAATTTTTTTGAAAAGCGTATTTTTTTTTTTGATAAAAATTCATAAAGGAGACCAAGTTCAATTTCTTCAAAGAATTTTTTTTGAAAAAATTTATTTTTTAATTGGAAAAATTTAGGCCTAGAAAATAGAGTTTTACTCAACAATTTAGAGTTTTTGTTGTGGGGTATAGCAAAAAAGGGAATTAAAAAAAAACTAATTTTTTTCGAAAAAAAATCACAGGGGGGACCAAGTTCAATTTTTTCAAAAAAAAATTGTTTTTTAATTAGAAAAATGTAGGTCCAGAAAATAGAGTTTAATCAATAGTTTAGTTTTTTTGTTGTAGGGCATGGAAAAAATTGAATAAAAAAATTTTTCTGAAAAAAATTCACAGGGGGGACCAAATTCAATTTTTTCAAAAAAATTTTTATTGAATTGTGCGGGATGGGGAGAAAAAATATGTGTTTGGGGATGTTTTTAGTGGAAGCAATTTTAGAAAATTAAAATTTTTATTTTCGAAAAAAAAATTTTTTTTGTAAATAATGAACAGGGGGGACCAAGCTCATTTTTTTAAATTCAAAAAAAAATTTTTTTTGTTGAAACACGACAAAAAATTAGCAAAAATCTTTTTTAGAGGGGTTTTTTTAGCTCAGAGTGGGTATAAAAATTGAATTTTTATAAGGTTTTTTTGCCAAAAGTATTTTCCAGGCAAAGAATTCAACTACTTTGGCTCATCGAACTCGCAAATGCGCGAACAAGGCTGCTATTTCATTCAAATCAAAGACGAAAAGGAGATCAACCGATTCCGCCAATATTTGGGCGATTTCGACAAGAAAAGCGTACCGAAAATGATGGCACGTCTGGGGCAGTGTTTCACACAGTCTTGTGTAAGTTTGAAATGGAAAGAAATTTTTTACAAAGTAGAAAATGGCAAGAACTTTCTAAACTAAACATAAAATGGCAAGAACTTTCTTTACAAAACAAAATGGCAGGAACTTTCTTTACAAAACAGAAAATAGCAAAAACTTTCTTTATAAACCGAAAAACGGCAAAAACTTTCTTTACAAACCAAAAAATGGCAATATTTTCAGAAAGTTGGCAAAGAAGTGGACCGTAACTGCTACGATCGCACCCCCGACTATGTCGGTATTAACAATCGCAAAAAAGACCCGCCCGAGCCGTTCGTCTACTCGGATGGTAATGGTGTAATGAGCTATGCATTCGCCGAGGAAATCTCAAAATCCTTGAATTATCAAGACTTTGTACCGTGCTGCTTCCAAATGCGGTTCCGAGGATTCAAAGGGATTCACGTCGTGGACCCACAAATGGACAGATTGAACATTTGGGGCAGAGATAACGACTACTTCACTGAAAACCGGAACGAATACCGGTTCATGTGTCGACCGTCGCAGGAAAAGTTTCGAACTTCACAGGTCTGTTTTGGATTAGATTTCAAAATTTGAAAAAATTAGGTCAGGGTAGAGTACGGTAGGGGGTAGGGCATCGGGTATAGTACGGTAGGAGCAGGGTGTCGGGTAGTGTACAGTAGGAATAGTGCGTCGGGTAGAGTACGGTAGGGGTAGGACGTCGGGTAGAGTACGGTAGGAGTAGGGCGTGGGATAGAGTAAGGTAGGGAGAGGAAGTTTGCTTGAATACGGCATTGTAGAGTACTGGAATGTGTAGCGTAGGCTAGTATAATATGTGGGAACGTAAGACAACGTACGGTATTGGATAGAGTAGGGTTTGGTGAGGCAGGGTGGGAATGTAGGGTAGAGTTGGGTAGGGTAGGGCAAGGTAGGATATAGAAACGCAAGGTAGCGTAGGGTAAGGTAGGGTAGAAAAAGGCAGCGGAACGCAAAGCAGAGTAGGGCAAGGTAGGGTAGAGAACGGTAGTGTAGAATGGAGTAGGTTAAGTACACCGTGAGGGAGTACAGTAGGACAATGTGAATTACGGTAGAGTATGGTGGTGTAATATATGCTGGGTAGAGTAGAAAACAAAGCACGCTAGTGCAGGGTAAGGGGAGTACGGTGGCTAAAGAGTATATAAAGATGGAAAATGTATTATCTAAAATTGTATTACTGTATTATTAAATTTTTTAAACAAATTTTAGACAAATTGCTCATACGAAGTGGTGAAGATCTCGGCTCCCTCACCAGTCTGCCTGAATCGACCATTCATCAACATTATCGACCAAGTAAGCGCTCTCCAATCCTTTGCTTGCCACCAGAAGATTGTGAATCGCATCTTCCAGCTCCTGGATATTCAACTCAACAACATTGCCAACTCATTGACCGACGAGAAGTGGGCTCGCACCAAACTCGGCGAATTCCCTCGCCTAGTCATGTTTGACGTCCTGGACAATGTCAACTTGACCACGGAACCCTTCTTCCGAAGTCTCCTACGCACTTCGGCCAGATGCACCCTGAAGAAGCTACGCGAAAAGCTTCAGATTCAGATTCCAAGCAGTCTCGGTCGCAGTTTGTTGGGCGTGGTGGACGAAACCGGACAACTTCAGTATGGCCAAGTGTTTGTGAAGTACACGGTCAATATTCTACAGAAACGGCCCGGCCCAGGAGCAGCTGGAAATGTTCTGGAAGGTGGGTTTTGAACTGATTTTTTCAGTTTTTGGCCAAAATTTGCCAGCTTCGGCTCCAAAATTGATCGTTTTGGACCTAAAAACAAGTTTTTGACACTTTTTAAAAAATGGAAGTTGAGTGGAAGATTTGTAATGTATTTTGCACTGAAAATCTTCCACTCAACTTTCATTTTTAAAATGTCTTCAAAAGGCCTAAAAACACGTTTTTAACACTTTTTGAAAGTGGAAATTTGGTGGAAGATTTGTTTTGCACTGAAGATCTTCCACCCAACTTTCATTTTTCAAATTTTATGAAATTGCTTAAAAAAGCATTTATGACAGGTAAAATGGCTTAAAAATGCATTATTGACATAAAAAAGGGACTAAAATTGGCTTTTTAACTTTTAAAATGACCTTTTTTACTGATTTGACCAACTCGCAACATGTCATTTTTATGCTAATTTTAACACGTTTCATCGTATAACTTGAACCATTTCTAGGCCCAGTCCTAATCACCAAAAACCCCATGGTTGTAGCCGGTGATGTGCGTATGTTCACCGCCGTCGACATACCATCCCTCCATCATCTCTGCGATGTGGTCGTATTCCCACGCCACGGTCCACGACCTCATCCGGATGAAATGGCTGGCTCGGATCTGGACGGTGATGAATACTCTGTCATCTGGGACCCGGGACTGTATTTGGACAGGAATGAGGAAGCCTTTGACTACACCGCTCCCAAGGTTGATCCTGAACCGGTCGATGACAGCAAAGTGGTAAGGACCTTTTTAAAAATTTTTTAAAAATTTTTTTTTGAAAATTTTTAAAATTAATTTTTTTTCACGTGAAACGACATTTTGAAACGTTTTTTAAAATGTTTGTACCTCAAGCTAACAAGGAAAGTATCCGACCTGCCCCGCTCACGAGGAATTGATTGACTTGAAACTTTTTATATAGAAAGATCATGTAAAATATAAGATCTTCAGCAAAGCATTAAATCGCGCTTTCCAGGAAATCTCGAGAAAATCGAGATCAAAAAATGACATTTTGAATTTCCCGCCGACTTGGCATTGTGTTTCAAGCTTATAACTTTGCCATTTTTGACTTTTAATCATTTTTCTTTGATATACTAGTAGAAAACCTTTAAATAAACCTACATTTTTAAATTTGTTAATGTAGCTTGACTGGAAAGCCGAAAAAAGTGCTTTCAACACAATGCCAGGTTTGCCAAATTGGAGGGAAATTCTAAATATTTCAAATTTAAATCTCAAAAGCGCGAGCCAAAATTTTTTACGGGCACTATTGGTGGGACAAGGAATTCATTTAAAAATTTTGAACTGATTCTGAATGAGGCAGGTCGAGTACCTTCTTTGTTAGCATTTTGCAGTAAAATCGGCTTTACCGCCCAGTTTTATGGTTTTAATCATCATTAGAGCTTCAAAATTTTTGAAATTCGAAAAACCGGAAAGTTAGATGACGGAGGATGAAATTGCGGAAAAAGTGGCAAGATTTTAAACTCTAGCGACATTTTATACGATGATACATGTTCAAAAAAAATTTTATATTTTTGAAAAAGTTGGATTTTTTGACATATTTCATTGTATAACTTGGGCATTTGCATGCACTTTGCAAAATTTTTCTAAGCACGTTTCATTTTGTACACTGGAGTGTGGCACATTAATATTTTTAATGAAAAAGTGACATGTTATACGATCAAACGTATCTTTGATATTTTGGACATTTTATTGTATAACATGTCATAATTATGCTTATTGTAGCAAAATTGCATTAAAAATGTCATGAAAAAGCATAATTTAACTAATTTTTCATTTTTTTACAAAATGGTGACATGTTATACGATCAAACGTGTTTTTTATATTCTATACATGTTTCATCGTATAAGGTGGTTAAAAATGGAAAAATATAATGATTTATCGAACTTTCCTTGGCTAGCCTTCTTCAAATAACTAGCTTTTTAAAAACATTCTTTCTTCAAGTAAAAAGTGTCCCGCTACTTTTGGTTCAACCTAATAATGCATTGTTTTAGCCTAAAGCACATGATACAGTATGATATACTAATAAACAATGTCAAAAATTTTAAATTTTAAAAATTTTAGCGACTTCAAATGGCCGACTTCTTCGTCAAGTACATTAGTCAAGACTCGATCGGCAAGATCGCCAACTCCTTCCTGATCAAGGCCGATCAGTTGGGCCTGAACAGCAAGGTGTGCCAAAGCATTGCCAAGAAGAATATGGAAGCGGTCGATTTCCCCAAAACCGGTAAACCACCATCAAAACTGTGCAAAGGCGACCCATCACGAGGAATCGACTCGGAAGTCGTCCGTGTGCATCCAGATTTCATGGAAAAACCACAGGAAGCCACGTATGAGAGCCCGAGAATGAATGGTCGATTGTTTAGGTAATAACTTTGTACAAAGATTAACATGGCAAGAACTTACTTTAAAAGACACAATATGGCAAGAACTTTCTTTACAAAACAACAAATGCCCGGGTTTTCTTACATAAAGTCCGAAACGGACATGTTTAAAAAGTGGAAGTTAAGTGGAAGATTTGTAATGTATTTTGCACTGAAAATCTTCCACCTAACTTCCATTTTCAAAATGTTTTAAAATGACTTAAAAATGAACTTTTTACTAATGGGCATGACTTTAATGCTTATAAAATGCTGTTTTTATACCTAAAAATTCAAATTTTTGATTAAAATTTCGGTTTTCATACCTAAACCACTATTTTCATACTTAAAAAATCAATTTTCAGACGAATCAAAGCGATTGACAGCGAACTAGAGACCTCAATCGACGAACAAGTCAATACTCCCGTCCACCGTGATCCCCTGATTCACATCGACGGCTACGATGACCCATTGTACATGAAAATGGCAGCCGATCACTTCCGCAAGTACATCGCCGCCATGGAACATCAACTTCTTCAGAGGTTCGGCGTGGAAACCGAGGTCGAGCTGTTCTCCAACTCGTACGCTGCCATTCGAAAACGGATCAGCGAAAAGGAAATGGACGATATGTCCTTCTTCAACACACAACGAGTGATCGAAGAGACCCTGGAGCAGATCTACTCCAACCATCGACGCATGTTCTTCGAGAGTTTTGGCGAAAAATTCGAAAATTTGACCGAAAATCGCTACGAAAACGAAAATCGAGACTCGAAGGACAAGCGACACATCCTCAGGGATCGGTGCTCAAACGCCAGCGATGATCTGAAGAAATTAGCTGTCGCTTATTATGCTACGGCTTATGGTAAGGAAGGCTTGAAAATATAAGAAAACAGAATATTGGGAAGGGCGGGGTAAAATTTTAGGGGTGGGTGAAAATTTTTTTTGGAAAAAGTAAAAAATGTATTTTAGTAAAATAAAATGGTTAATAATTTCAATAGAAAACAAAAAAAGGTCAAGTTTTTGGAAGTGGAAGTTGAGTGAATGTTTTTTAGTGTATTTTGCACTGAAAATCTTCCACTCAACTTTTATTTTCAAAATGTCTTAAAATGGTCTAAAAACATGTTTTTGACACTTTTTAAAAGTGGAAGTTCGGTGGAAGATTGTTAGTGTAGTTTGCACTGAAAATCTTCCACTCAACTTTCATTTTTTAAATTTTTCGAAAACGGCCAAAAAACGGAAAATTTAAGTTCCCGGTTAAAATTATGGCTAAAAATCAATTTTTTTAGATGCTGGACATCAAAAATACCTGTCGTTTGCGTGGCTTTGCGCCGACGTTCTCTACCGTGTTCGTCTCAACGTGATCAGTGAGAAGCGGCGTGCCGACCCGACAGCTCAAATCAATTACTACTCATTCGACCCGGTATCAGACAGACTGTCCGAACACATTGATGTTTTTGTGAATGCGGACGAAATTCGACAGGTTGAGCTGAGAAATCGACTGGAAAAGGACAAGACTCGAAGTCGACTGAAGCCGGCCATTTTGACGATTGAAAAGTATTGTGAGGTGTGTTGATTTGAGTATTTTGAAGTTTTTTTTAAAGGCTAGGGTTGGATTTTGTAAAAATTTAAAAATTCGTTTTCAAAGCATCATGATTTTAGGTCTACGACGGCCTGTACGACTGGATGGCATTCTCAGTGAAATGGGCCGACAAGAATGGAATCCTCGTGAAAACGGGAGCACCAATCGAGAAGGACATTATGGACGAGGACAAACAAGACACACCCGTATTCAATTATACCCATATTTGCCTGTTGATCATCCTCTTCGGGCAGGGAAAGCTGGATTTGAACAATACACCAAGGTTCTTGGAGGAGGTAAAAAGCTTTGAAAACTTGAAGAATATGAGGTTTTTCGGCATTTTTATGGTTGAATTTGGTTTTAAAAGCTATTTTTTGTCATTAGGAAGGTCGAGAAAAAAATTTTTTTTGGGCGGGGTGATTTTTCGAAAAAAAATTTAGGGTATGTTTTTAAGGAAAAAATTAGTTTTTGTGGCTTTACATGATAAAATTAATAGAAATTTTTTGGGCGGGGTAATTTTTTGAAAAAAAATTTTACGGGGTATTTTTCAGAAAAAAATTTTTGTGGTTTCTGATGGTAAGTTTTGCAACAGATTCATTTTTTGATATTTGGGCGTGATATTTTGCAAAAAGTGTGAGGGATAATTTGTTTAAAATTTTTTAAAAAATTTTTACCTTTCAGCCAGCCGACTTAGAAACCCAAGAAAAAAATCAACCTCCGTCTACAAAATGGCGGCCTGGGCAAAAAGTTCCTGACCCTGATGAGATTTATGGCTTCTCGCGACTTTCTGATGCTAAAATCAATGTCATTTACCGACCTCGGCTACCTGTCCGGCTTCTACAACAACGAATGGTTTTACGCTCAAAAAGCGGCCGAAAAGACCTACTATAAGATCTGTCTAACCAACGATTTCTCAACCCTACCCTACGACCGCGAACGTCAACAGGTAACGGACACGATTCAGAACATTAACGTGGAAGGACGAGTCGCACTAGACGGCAGTACCTTCTTCATCGAGCTTTTGAAGAACGAAACCTACAAAACCATGACCAAACACAATGTCAGAGCGTTAGCAATTCACTCTGGATGCGAGAACATCTTCTGGCGGCAAGACTTGACCATTTCGGACGACTGTAACGCCGATCGAATCATCATCACGGCGGTGGGCACGGTGACAGCCGTCAACAAGCTCAGACGTTACCTAACTCCAAAGGGGTACCTCAACAGTATTCTCAGTGATCAAGAACTTACAGTATCGTTGGCTTCACAAGTTGTCAATAAGATTCATCGGCTGACGAGGACAAAGGAACAGCTGGATGAAATCAAGTGTAAGGTCAGGGAAGAACCTGAACCCTTGAGAGCACCAAGACCTTCACAGGCCATGGAGTTTGTTGAGGAATAGGGTTGAGGTTTGAAGGATTGTTTGGGGTTCAGAAGAACATTGTGGCTTCAGAAGGCGATTTGTGATTAAGAAGACAGATTTGTACATTGATATGGATTCAGAAGAGAACTTTTTGACGTTGAAATGGCTTCAGAATTCGATTTTTTGACGTTGAAATGGCGTCTGAAGAGACGGTTTTGAGGCGATTTTACTTGATTTTGAAGCCGATTTTGATCATTTTTTTGCCATTTTTTAATGAATTCCAACGCCGGTCTTACATACTATTGTACCCTCTGTTTATTCTGGAGCTTGTGTTATGTATGAACACTGTTTTTAAAGGATTCTGAAGGTTATCTTTCACAGTTTCAACGTATTTCAAAGTTGGTTTTTGATGATTTTTAAAATTTTTAATGGATTCTGAAGCCAGTTGAAATAAAAAAAAATTTGTCATTGTGGTTTTAGATTGTCTTAGAATTTCTTATTTTTGCTAAATTTTTTCTATTTTGTTGACGAGTGACAAGTTATACGATGAAACATGCTCGAACATGTTTCATCGTATAACATGTCCATTTGATTTTTATTTCACTTTTGAATGTTAAGTATTGGTTTGAATCATGTTTTTCTTCATTTTTTACAAAATTTTTAACTTGTTACCGACATGTTATACGATCAAACATGCTTGAGCATATTTGATATTGCACCGTATAACACCTCCCAATGAAAATTTTTTGTCTTTTAACGGGTCCTAAGTAACTTTTTAACATATGATTTTTATTTTTTTCTCTTGTTTCCAAATTCCGTTTATACGAAACTGGTACCGTTGTTTTCACTACATCACAACATTGATCTCATGTGTAACATCCCATTAATTTAACTTTTTCGAATAAACTTACTGCGCTGTAAAGGAGGTAATAATGAGAAAATATTGAAGCTTTCAAAGTTTTAAAATGTAGTTTAAAAAAGTCATTTTGGACCACTTTATACGATGAAAAATGACCGAATTTGAAAAAACATGTTTCATCGTATAATATGTCACTTTTGACAAAATAAAAACTAAAAATGACAAATCTAGATAAATCATAGTCATCAGGGCATTCAAAGGTACCAAAAAGGTCATATTACCCTGAAAATCTGACTGTCCAAAAACATTTTTCATCGTATAACATGTCACTTTTGAAAAATTAAGATCCCCCCGCCCCCTTAAATTCTTGTTTCCGGCCTAAAAATCAGTATCGATAATAATTTATTGCTAGAAAATTCTAAATCCAATCTATGTTGATATGTTTTACAATCCCCGACTGCCGCGTTCGGCTTCCATTATATCTTCCATCATGGCCAGCTTGCTGCTACGCCGCTCCTCTGCTTCCAGGTCCTTAAAGTTGGCATGCATTCGGCGTTCGTCGATCATGCGTTCACGTGCCTTCCACAGGCTCTTGTTGTATCGTGGGTTTATCATTCTTAAACAGAAGGTTTATATTATTTTAGGTTCAACTATGTTATAGTAGGTTTAGCTTATACCTAAAAATTTTTTTATCGAATAAACTGTCACTTTCTAAACATAACTTAAGGTGGCCAAACTAGGAAGATATAACCGTTTCTGAACAAATAAATATCACTAAATACCAGTTTTATAAGAAACATGTCACTTGCCGAAAACAAGTTTCATCGTATAACATGTCACTTTTTTTTGCCAAAATCACAACAAAATTTGTGAAATCTTGTCGTTTTAGATAAATGTAATTACACGAAATTTATAAATTTACCTAAAATAGCACTAAAACCCATTTTGTACGATGAAACATGTCATTGCCGAAAAGCATGTTTCATCGTATAACATGTCACTTTTTTGTCAAAAACGCAAACAATTTGAAGTGATATCACATTTTTATCATTTTAAATGTCAATTTAGTCCCTTTTAAAGCAATTTAAGCACAAACTTGATATTTTAGGTAACAAACTCAATATTGTAGATAACAATCTTAATATTTTAAGTAACAAAACCCGAAAAACCATCACCTACCTCAATGAATCCTCAAAATCTGCTCTCTCCAAGTCATCCAGCTCTGAATCGTCGATGAAATCGTCCAATTCTGAATCATATTCTTCATCGTCATAGTCCATCTCATCGTCGCTGTAATCTCTTCGTTTGCCATTAAGATGTGGCTTCCTTCGGTCTCCATACCCACTGGGCCCTCCGTACCTATCTCTATTGTACCGGTCTCTATTGGCTTCACCGTACCGGTCTCTCGAAGCTTCACCGTAACGACCTTTGGAGGGTTCTCCATACCGTTCTCTGGACGTTTCACCGTGCCGCTCTCTCCTATCATCACCATACCGTTCTCTGCTAGCTTCACGACCCTTCTCCGTTCTCTGGCCCTTCGACCCGCCTTCTGAAGCTTTCCTACGGTCTTCTGAATCCATTTTCTTGCCATACTTATCACCACCGTACTTGGATAGGGCCGCTTTATATGGATCAACCTTGGGCCGATCATCCTCCTTCTTCTCCCCCTTGGCAAGTCCTTTATATCTGATGTCTCCGGGCAGGATTCTAGTCTCTTTCTTCTGACTCGCGTACTGTGAAGCCGCTGGAGACACTTTGAAGGCGTCTTTCGTCGATTCTCTTTGTGATTTCGCTGATTTGGTCGCTGATAACGAGGCTTTTGCTGATAATGCTGGCTTCTTGAACATGTCTTTTGAAGTTACAGAGCCTCCGTTTGAGGATCGTGAAGATTCTGAAGCTCCATTAGAATATCTTGATGATTCAGAAGCTCCATTAGAGTGTCTTAAAGATTCTGACGCTCCATACCGTGAAGACTCAAGCCCTCCATTTGAAGAATACCGTGAAGACTCCGCTCCAGAAGCCCCTTTACCATATGGAGCAGCTCCAGAAGACCCTTTAGGACCACTTCCATTCACTTTCGAACCCGTAGCAAATGAAGATTTGGATGAAAACGACGAGGAAGGCTTCGAAGTCGATGAAGAAGCCTCAGCTCCATAAGATTTACCGTCGAGCTGCTCCAGAAGATCGTAGCGCTTCTCACGAATGGCCTTGGCTCTGGCTGCCGCTTTCTCAGCATCCTTGTTCTGATTAGCTTGTTCCATGAGTTTTTGGAAGTCCATCGCTCCGCCATTGGCGGCGAACGGCGGAGGCTTTCGCTTCGGCTGACTTGAACCCATCGTTTTGAATTCTTCCGATTTACGCTTGGTTGTTACTGACCTGAAAAGTTGTAAACTATTAGAAAAACGCCAACATGATCATCCCAAATCAAAAAATAGCCTATTTTTAGCTATTTTAAAAGTGGAAGATCAGTGGAAGATTTTTAATGTATTTTGCACTAAAAATCTTCCACTCGACTCCCACTTTTAAAAAGTCTTAGAATGTCTTAAAAACACATTTTTGAAACTTTTTAAAAGTGAAAGTTAAGTGGAAGATTTGTAATGTATTTTGCACTGAAAATATTCCACCTATCTTCCAATTTGAAAATGTCTTAAAATGGCTTAAAAACATGTTTTTCACACATTTTTAAGGCGGAAGCTAAGTGGAAGATTTTCAGTACAAAATACATTACAAATCTTCCACCAATCTTCCACTTTTTGAAACTTTCCAAAAAATGCTTTAAATGTCAAAAAACTTTAAAAATAACAAGGATAATGTAAAATACGATTAAAATTTCTTCAAGGGCACATAAAAATCTAAACTTACTCATGTTTCGACGACAAGCTCGCAAACCCATCAGCTTTGACATTACCAACCCGAGCTCCCGTCACTTTCCCAATACTTCCTTTCGTAGCCAGCTTTTGTCGATTTGCCATAGCCTTATCAATACCTTCACGTAGCTTACTAGCCTGTTTCTCAATCGCTTCTTGTTCTTTTTGCTCTCGTCGGTAAAGTTCAAGTTCTCGATGAGAGTTATGAGCATACTTGGTTTGGAGCTCAATTTGACTCTTACCAAATTGAGAAGCAATCTTCTTATTGGCCTAAAAAGAAAGTTATTAGACTTATCTTTAATATAAAATAAAAATTGAGCAAGTTTTAGCCCAAGAAACAACATCAAACGTTAAAGTTTGTCTACTACAATATAAATTTTTCAACAAAAATAGCTTTTCTACCCAAATTTTAAATTCCAAAAACATTTTCACATAACAAAAGTTATAGAAAAGCTTCCCCTATCTATTTCCTTCGATTAAATTCACAATACTCCAAGTTGTTACCTAAAATTCCAGTAATACAAGCAAAATCAACTTACCCTCCCACTGTTGGCCTCCAATCGCATTTTAATCAGCTCATCTCGCTCTTTCTTTTGCGATTTGATCTTCTCCAAGTTTTCAGCCTTCTGCTTCTCCAAAAATGCACTCACATTGACACTAGGCACGCCATCATCAACCTTTTTCTTTGGTATCACAAACTAAATCAAGGATAAGTTAAAATTCGCACAGGAAATCAATGTTATCATCAATTCTAACGTTAACTCTAAAGCCAGAAGCAAAAAATAAAGTCATACCTGTTTGGGTTGAGGTTTTGGAGGAGCTTTTAGCTTCTTTAGATTCCTCTCCTGCTCCAATTGCCTAGCGTAGAGCTCCTTATCCCGCTTCAACTTTTCCCTTCGTTCTTGTTCGCTTTGACTAATTACTTTGGTCGATTTCTGAGCGTTGTGAGAAGCTTGAGCCAAGAGCTCTTGGAAATCCATAGGTTTACTAATCTACTATCTAAATATAAAATTTGGAGTTAATTTAATTGATATTTGTAAAGTTATACATTAAAATATTCGACGAGACCGAAAAGCACGATTTAATATAAATGACGACTTAAAATAATATAAAACAAGGTGTTAACGATGAAATTGAGCTTAGACCTTTTAAACACTCAAAAATACACTATTTTACTGTCTGAATGTTAAATTTAAAATAAATCGATTAAATATTGCAAAAGTTACAGACCAAAATATAAAGCATGCCATCAAAACTCAATTTAGTAATAGTGAATGTCCAAAATAATATAAAACAAGATGTTACAAATAAAATTGACCTATAACCTTTTAGATTCTCAAAACCATGTTTATTTACTATCTTTTTACCAACAATAAAGATAATCAATGAAACGGAACTAAACTTATGATTAAAAGTATGCACCTAGACACCAACATCCCATTTTCTCAAAATAAAAGTAAAACGACACTTAGACCACTGATTTTCAAACCCGCAGACAAATTATGTAATGCCCAACGTATACAATAGTATCAACCGTTATAGAGACCATCAATTACGTACGAATTCAAAGCGAAATCAATCGATATTCCGCAGACAAAATGAAGAACAATATCACTTGTTTTATGTATAGTGTAATAAAAATATTAAAATGAGATTTTCAGCTGAAAAAAATATATTGTCCATCGTAATAAAGGGAGAAGAAACTGTTAGCGATAAGGTGTTGTAAAAGATCGACCTTTTCCAAATATTTCCACGAAAAAATAAAGAAAATAGCTAATAAGCGAAGTGCGTCCGAGCATTGCAGTTCGCAGAAGGTAGAAGCAGATGTTTTTTGGTTTTATAGTTAAAGAAGTTTGAAGGCAAAGGATTAAAATGTCATAAAAATTCAACTAATTTCAATAATTTTAATTTATTTTTAGTGTTGTAAAGAAAGTTCTTTTCATTTTTTGTTTTGTAAAGAAAGTTCTTGCGATTTTATGTTTTGTTAAGAAAGTTCTTGCCATTTTTTGCTTTGTAAAGAAATTTCTTGCTATTTTGCGTCATATAAATAAAGTTCTTGCCATTTTCACCCGTAGTTTTTACATAATCAATATAGTAAGCAAATGCACGGTGCAATCTTCTAGTTTTTGCACAGTGCAACAAAAAGTAATTTTGAAAAATTGCAAAATTCGAAATTGTTTTTCAAATTAAAGATACTGTAAAATTTAAAGTACTTTCTTGTTCATTTTGCAAATCTAATTTTAAGTGATTTTATCTTCAGGTAACAGTAAAAAGTTGAAATTTAAAACGCCTGCACTGTGCAGTCAATTAATTTTTGCACCGTGCAGTCAATTTTTGTACTTTTTTAAATTTCTAAAAATTTGTACAAGCTGTCATTTTTTAATATAGGTCGTAAATTTAGGCAGATTTTCGTTTTTTTTTCAATTTCGGCGGCGTTCCGAAGACGTTTTTTGAAGATTTATGTGAGTGAAACATATGGCTTCAAAAGTCAATCCAATTCCCAATGGAGCTCGGATTAGGCCGAAGAAAAAAATGACATTTCTTGGCTACTGTTTAATTGAGTTTGTAATGTTTATTAAATTTTGAAGGATGGAGGGGAGGGAGAGGAATGTTGCCATTTTACGGTAAAGGAGAGTGTGGTGGAGGAGAGGGGTAAAATAGCAAAATTTTAAAAAATTAAAAAAATTGTTCATAACTTTCTATACAAATTTTAAAATGACCATATATTTCAGTATAAAACACTAAATCGACACTTTTATAAAAATGGAAGTTGAGTAGAAGATTTGTAATGTATTTTGCACTGAAAATATTCCACTCAACTTCCATTTTTAAAATCTCTTAAAATAGCCTAAAAACACGTTTTTAACACTTTTATCTATGTGAAATTAAGAACATTTGGACTCAAAAACCTTAGTTTGACCTTTTTTCACACAAAGTGTAGAAAGTGTGCTTATTATAAAATTTAGTCTATAATCATATATGGTTTGGCAGCGTCAATATCATCATCATAGGGTTAATATTCACTATCATCATCATCATAGGGTTAACATCATAACCAAACGAACCATAACTCTAAAGCATAATATCCATTACCATCTTCATCACTCTAATATATTGCATTATGTATTGACAAACACGTGAAGATCTTTAAAGATATTGCCAAGCCTTGTGTGTGCTACACCATTGTTTTGCTGCCATTTTTTGTTAAAATAAATATTCCCAAGGGTTTGGAAGAGATTAATCTTTCCAGAGCCATTAACCGGCCTCAACGTTAGGTTATTTAGGTAATGATGTATGTATTAATCGTATAAGTTTGGTCTGAGACTTTCAGCGTTCACTGTATTAGTGTGCAAAAGAAGGCGGGGTTGGAAGTTGCAAAATCTTTCTTTACAAAACTTAAAATAGCAATAACTTTCTTTACAACTCATCAATTTACTAAAACTTCCTTTTACAAACCAAAAAACGGTCAGTTATAAAAAGTGGAAGTCGAGTGGAAGATTTGTAACGTATTTTGCACTGAAAATCTTCCACTGAACTTCCATTTTTTTAATGCCTTATAATGGCCTAAAAACACGTTTTTGACACATTTTGGAAGTGAAAGTTGGGTGGAAGATTTTCAGTGCAAAACACATTAAAAATCTTCCACCATACTTCCACGTCTAAAAAGTGTCAAAAACTCATTTTCAGGCTATTTTAAGACATTATAAAAATGGAAGTTGAGTGGAAGATTTCAGTGCAAAATACGTTACAAATCTTCCACTCAACTTCCACTTTAGAAAAAAACGCTATTTTTTACGTTTTATATAGAAAGACAACGTCCCTTATAGTTTTATAGTACTAGTTCTTGCCATTTGCAATCGAAATTAAAATTAGAACACCGTAAGCAAAGCTAATATCCTTTAAGTGTCAAAACAAAGTGTAGCTGAACTAAAAAAGAAGAGAGCGTAAACAAGAATTGACGAGCAAGTAATGTTTTTGCACTGTGTTTGAAGACATTTCCTGTCATGTTCATTTAGTGTACCGGCAAATGTGGTTTAGGGGGTTTAATTTGCAGGAACTTTCTTTACAAAACAAAAAATGGCAAAAACTTTCTTTACAAAACAAGAAATAGCAAGAAATTTGTTTACAAAATACAAAATGGCAAGAACTTTCTTTACAACACAAAAAATGGCAAGAACTTTCTTTACAAAACAAAAATGGCAAAAACTTTCTTTCCAAACCACCATTTAGCTAAATATGCAAATTTTTCATTTTTTTATGCTTCACTTTGTTCTACTGCTAATTTCTGACAGGCCTATTGATTTGTTTGGTCCCCGCCGACGCGCATTTGCATACGAGTTTCGAGGCGCTGCAGATGCGAAGAGCCTCTGTTTATTGGGCCGTAATTACTATTGCGTTCATTTACATTCGTATTTGACCTTTTTTGTCTCGAAAGTGTTGGTAAATCGGTTGGTAAAGGGATTTTGAGGGGCTTTAATCAATTTTCTTATTAAGTTTTTGCTTGACTTTGGGTTTTAAAGGGGATTTGAAGAGATTTGGAAACTGGAAATTGAGTGGAAGATTCGTAATGTATTTTGCACTGAAAATCTACAACCAAACTTCCATTTTTAAAAGGTCTTTAAATGGCTTAAAAATAAGTTTTTAAGCATTTTTAGAAGTGGAAGTTGAGTGGAGATTTTCAGTGCAAAATACATTACGAATCTTCCACAGAAATTCCACTTCCAAAAAGTGTCAAAAACGTGTTTTTAGGCAATTTAAAGACATTTTATAAATTTAAATTAAGTGGAAGATTTTCAGTGCAAAATACATTACAAATCTTCCACTTAGCTTCCACATTCTAAATCATGCCTTTTGGTGTCATCCAAAGGAAGTTATTGTCATTTTTAGCATTTTAAAAATTCTCTTGCCATTTTTAATTTTGTAAAGAAAGTTATTGCCATTATTTGTTCTGTAAACAAAGTTTTTGCTATTTTTTGTTTTGTAAACAAAGTTTCTGCCTTTTTTTACCGTGTACGATATATTTCTTCATTTTCTATTTTTAAACTATTTTAAAATTTTTCGAATTCCAACATGTTTTTCATTTCGTCGCGTTCACATTGTCATCTTCCCCATCTTCTTCTTCGTCTCCATTGATGTAAATTTAATGAGCGAGAGAGGGGGGGGGGAAGGTAAAGAAGAAAAAAACCGACCAAGAACCATGGGATTCGAGGAAGCAACGAATTTTTGTTTTCCAAAACTCGAAGAAAAGAAGGGGAAAACGCATAAAAACGGGACCCAAAGGAAATTACACAGCGGTCGGAGTCACACGGGGTGAAAGATGGAGCACGAACCTCGTGACGGGGCCCCAACCAAGCCGGGGGAGAGATTAGCGCGAGGAGCGGGGAGACCCAAGCGACAGCGGGGAATGGGAATGACAGCGGGTTGGAGCGGGGAAGGGCTTTATAAGTGGCGGGGAAGGGCTTTATAAGTGGCGGGCAGGGTTGGGTGAAAGTAGAAGGGCTTTTAGTTAAGGGGTGCCTACAGAGCACTGTGGTACTAAACCGAAGCCTATCTATTGTAAGCCCACGAAGTGTGAGTTCAATCAGACAGAGCTTACGAAGCCTATACTTACTAAACTTGATCTTAAAAATCATAAACCTACTGCAGATAAGCCTAAGGATACACCGCCTAAACCATTTTAACCCACACCTACGTTTTCTAAGCCTAGCTTACTTAACCAAATTTAACCAATGAATATAAAAACTAAGCCTAATAAACCTGAACCTACTAAGCCTAAGCCAACTAAGCCTGCGCTTACTGAGATTGAGCCTAATAAGCCGTATATTATTAAGTCTAAGACTACTAAACTTAAGCCTACTAAGCCTAAGCCAGGTAAATTTGAAGCTACTAAGACTAAGCCTACTAAGTTAAAGCTATATAATCTTTAGTATCCTAAGTTTATAAGTACTGAGCCTAAGCCTAATACGCCCAACCCTTAAAG